GAACTGGAAAGTGACCTGAGATGACATGATGTGAATTGGAGCTATAGAAATAAACTGAATAGAACTAAATTGATTAGACATAGACTTAGAAAAACCTTATTGTCATTTCGTCTGCAAAGTGAACAGAGACAGCCCTCCACTCGGTCTGCGGCCCCCCTCCCTCTCTGACAGTCTTTGGAGGAGTCAGTGTGTGACTCATAGGCGGCCTCTGTCCCTCTGAGCTGCAGTCAATGGCAGCAGGATTTTAACGGCCTGAGCCGTAATGACTGCCAGTCGCTTTATTCAATCAGTCACTAAAGCACAGTTTCATCTGTTAGCAAACCTTTTCACTTTCACCTAGGAGGAAACAGGCAAACAGGAGGAAACAGGAGGACACAAACAGGAGGAAACAGGAGGACACAAACAGGAGGACACAAACAAGAGGAAACAGGAGGACACAATCAGGAGGACACAATCAGGAAGACACGGGAGGACACAAACAGGAGGAAACAGGAGGACACAAACAGGAGGAAACAGGAGGACACAAACAGGAGGACACAAACAAGAGGAAACAGGAGGACACAATCAGGAGGACACAATCAGGAAGACACGGGAGGACACAAACAGGAGGAAACAGGAGGACACAATCAGGAGGACACAGGGGGAAACGGCCTCATAGCTCCGACCTTCTGACGGACATCTGGGTCTAAATATAGTTTATTTATTCACCCAGTGAGCTGAACGCCGTTTGTTTGGCTGGATCTAAAGAACCGCGCGCGTGCGTCGGGGTTGCCACCAGTTGTGTGAACGTGCTCAGGCGCGCGCGAAAAAGTAAAGAGAGAAAAAAGAGAGAGATAGAGAGAGCGAGTTGCGTATCTGCTGACGCACGAGTTGACGCTTCTAATAGCACGAGGAGCTATCCGCGGTCCTGAAAGCAGACCTGAAGCGCGAGGCAGAGAGATGCCCAATCATTCGCGAGCCTCGACATAAACTAAGAAGGTGAGTTAGGATGATATTTGACTCAGCTGCTTCCATCATATTGTTTCATGATGTTTGGAACTAAATGATTGATTATTTATTCTGTTTATTGTTGAAAATATTGATTTCATGAAAAAGCTGTTTTCCAACCTGATGCTCCAGCAAAGCTGATTGTTTCACGCGCAGGAAGCCTTTGTTCTCATACCGCTTTAGAATATTTTATAGTGAGCTGTTTGGATTATTTGATTAAATGATGAAAATTATCTTTATTAAAAAATAAAAATCACCTCAGTTAAATCTGGTGCGTCAGAATAAAATGTATGAATGAACAGCAAATATGAACAAATGCTGCTGATTATTATTATTATTATTATTAATAGTGATTTTACTAAATTATATCAGTTTAATAAATTTAGTCAAACACTTTCTCCTGGAAATGAAACTGCAGTCGAGGAGCAGAAAGAAGCTTCATCTGGAGCTTAAATCCAGAGGAGAAACGTTTCATGGGAAAATCCGCCTTTACCGGGTTCCCTTGGCAACCGCGACGTGACTCCCGGAGAGCAGCAAGTTGATGGCTAATAAGATTTGTTCAGGAGTGGAAAACCAGAGCCGCCGCAGGAAAAAGCTGCTTCTTAGTTTCAAGCTCAGATTCCTCAAACAGCAGAAATGAAAGAAAAATACAATAATTCAATAAAAAGCAGCAGAAATGATTTTTGTTTGCCTTTAATTTTCATTATCAAGTTTTATTTAGTGGCGCAACCACAGCTTGTCTCTTAATATAAAAATAAAAGAAGCTTAGATAATCTACTTTGTTTTCATGATGGAAACTAACGTCTTCCATGAAAATGAGAATAAATGCTGCTTATAAACAAAGGGTGGAAAAGCTTGACTTGGTGAACCTGTTAGCTTTGCAGCGTAAAGGTCAGTGCTGACAGGCTTGTTTATCTTCCTCCTGCAGGCGTCGCCATGCCGTCACTCCCTCAGACCTCACCGCCCCTCATCTATTTAGCCGCCATCCTCTGGATCTTCCTCACTTTCGGGGTTGTTGAAGGCGCTTCGATCCGAGACCACAGGCTGCGGGGAAGTGAGTCTGACTCACCAGAAGGAGATGTCCTCCGTGCGCAAGACACAGACATGCTGAAAGCATTAGAGTATATTGAAAGTCTCCACCACAGAGCCCCTCACATTTTAGAGCACGATGCTAGCCGTATGGATGACGCTGAGAAGCTCCGCGCCATGCTGAGACCGGCTTCAGACCCAAAACAGAGCCAAGAGGAGCAGGAGGAGACTGGAAGTGAAGATAAAAGTGAGGAGCTGCTTCAGGCCGTCCTCAGCACTCTGCAGCAGACAGAGAAGGCTGCCAGGCCGGCCCTGCTGGGAGCAGTCCCACAGGGAATGAGCACAACGTATCCCAGAATGCCACAGAAAGCCCACAGGAAGCTGCCTTTGCTGTTTGAAGATGAGGAAGCAGAGGAGAGGGGGGAGGAGGCGCAAAGAGGAGACACCAGACATGAGAGTCCCTTCAAACGCACCAAGGAGAACGTAGAAGGGAGGTACACGCCTCAGAACCTCGCCACGCTGCAGTCCGTCTTCGATGAGCTTGACAAGCTGACAGGAGCAAACATCCTGCAAAAGCGTCAGGATGAAGACGGCGACATGGAGGAAGATGAGACCGAAGATGATGAAGAAATGTCTAACAGGAGGAATGCAGCTTATGATGACATGGACAGAGATCTCCTAGAATGGGGTCCATTAGATGAAGAAGAGGAGGAAGAGGAGGAGAGCGACAGTGACCATGGGGCCGATTACATCGAGGACAATGATGAAGATGCTGGAAACAATGATGAAGAGGATGACAGCTTTCCAGTTAAAAGATCAAGTGATGCCGATGATGTGGTGAACTTGGTGGACCACTACCTCCTTAAGGTGCTGGAGAAAACAGAGGAAGAGCAGGAGAAAGGAGAAGCAGCTGAGGGAGGGGGGAGGACTGAGAGGTGGTTGTCTCAGAATCGATATCCAGATAACATCGACCCACGAGTCATCTATCAGCTCCTCACTATCTCCCAAAGGTTCCAGATCCCTGCTGAAGACCTCACAGGCCTCCTGAAACCCAGAGAGCAAACGGATGACAGGAAGCTGAGAAAAACAAACAAGTTGTCTGAAGCAGAGAGAAAGTTTTCTAAGATCTCCTCAAAGAAGGCAACTCCTGCAGCTCATGTCTATAACAGACGTCCACCGTATGTGAGAAAGACCCCGGAGGAGCAGAGAACAGAGGAGATCCTCAAAGTACTGGGAATAGGAGGGGAGGAGGAACCTGCTCCCCCCATGAAGCAGAGGCAGCAAAACATCTTAACGTCACAACTTCACAATCATCCTGCTGGGCGCTGGAGGGAATACGCTCCCACGCAGCGGCGCCTTCCCCACCCCTTCAGAGACGACTACGATGACACGGAGGACCAGGATGAGCTGGCAGCTTATTTGGCTCAGATGCTGAATCCCAAACCTGCTTTTAGCAACACGGCCCCCCAAAAAAGACAGGAGGTTGGACAGAGCACCACCGACTCCTTAGAAAAGACCATGGAGGAATACTTTGACCTGATGGACAAAGAAAGAAGACAGTCAGAGGACAGTGAGACACGAGCTCAGAGCTGGGAGAATGAAGCTGTGATGAAAATGCTGAATTATCTGAACCCAGAAGAAGAAGAGGCCAAAACAGCAAAGGGGAAATAAGTTTGACCACATCTATTTATTGTTCAGGTGGAGAGGAGACCATGACATGCAGGGAGGAATAAAAACACATTGAACGTTTTTATTTATTAGTAGAAACTCGTCTTCAGATCATATTTGATGTTTTGCAGAATAGTAATCTGTTGCTGGGCGATAAAGCAGTAAATGTCTCACCAGCCTGAACTGTTCCACCCAGAGACGCCGTTTCTTTCCTTAGCGTGTTTTCTGTCATTCTTTCCTAATTGTGTTCATATGTGACATTCCTGAGGTTAATAAAGCATCGACTTTATCTTTTCCTTACTGTCCTGTTTCTCCATTTACTCACCAACTTTCAGCACCTGGGACTAAAAAATAAAACTTTCTGAGATGAACGCAAATAAACCTCTGAAGACCTGGAAGCAGGAACGTTCTGGTCGCGCTTCAGTAGGCAGGTTTGTTCATATATTCCTCCATCGTCTGTGGATGAAAACAGAAATGATTTTCATTTTCACGTCAGCATGTTTTAGTGAAGCTTTCTGTACCTCTTGAAGTGTGTCTGCCTGCTCCATGGAAGCGTTCACTGCAAATTTAGATGTTTCTGAAATTTCTCCGCTCATAAGGAACTCATCCAGGATGAAGTAGGCCTTCTCAAAGTTGAAGATGATGTCCAGCTCACACACCTGCATTTCAAAATAAATCACAATAAACTGCAGACTGCCCATTTTATCTAGACAGCACCTAATTCTGATTAAAACATTTAGATTGTTATATTGTCATTTATAAGCTGTGCACCAGAGGTCACCAGAGGTCACCGACCTTTTAAGATAGGAAGTAGTGACCTTTGACCTGGAGGGGTCAGCGTTCACATAAACTTTAGACATGATGAACATTTTTTAATGGTTCTTTTATAAATTTTCATTTTGGAATCGCTATGAATGATTAAAAAGAAGAGAAAAAAGACTTAGATTTATTTTGTCATTTTGTGAACATAATTGTAAAAACAAAAATAAATTTCGTTAAGAACAACTCTTCAGACAATTTTTTTTAGGGTAGCCTTGAAAACAGTAAAAAAAATAAAAACAGTAATATAAACCTATGACTATATTTATTATAGTTCTAATATTTCAGTTTTTTATGATTAAATATAAT